GTTTCAATATGTAGACTTTCATTTAAATCTCTTTTCAGAGGAGAGTTAGCTGCCTTATTCTGAGCTCTGCGTGGTGTCTCAAAATCCCGGGGTTTAATTTCTCCAGAGAACAAATCTTCTGTCTTTATCTTCTGATAGCAAAAGTATAGTTGTCTGACTGATAGGTGTGAGAGAAAGGTTCTGGAGGTTTATCTGTTTTCTTTTTTTTCTTGAGACGGAGTTTCGCTGTTATTACCCAGACTGGAGTGCAATGGCACGATCTCGGCTCACTGCAACCTCTGCCTTCTGGGTTCAAGCAATTCTCCTGCCTCAGCCTCCCAAGTAGCTGGGACTACAGGTGTGCACCACCATGCCCTGCTAATTTTTGTATTTTTAGTAGAGACGGGGTTTCACCATGTTGACCAGGATGGTCTCGATCTCTTGACCTCGTGATCCACCAGCCTCGGCCTCCCAAAGTGCTGGGATTACAGGTGTGAGCCACCACGCCTGGCCTATCTGTTTTCTATCTAGTCAACCTGTTTTCAGCTCTACTTTCAGAGGTACCTGCTGTCTCAAATTTCTGAGCCTTTCTGGGGTTCTGCAATACAAGTAAAATTTACTTTAACTAGTTTAAGTTTTGACTTTTCTGGTCTGCTAAATCATTTATCACTTAATTACTTTCCCATCTTTCTGGTTCTCGTTTTAATTATTAAAAATCAATAATTAATTATTGATTTTTATAGATAATGAATAATTCTAATATTTTTTACTATCCCAGTTGATTGTTTTGCACAGTTCCTTGGGGTTTATACAGCATAATTTGACAAATATAGTGTTAGCTTACTTCAACAAAAGCAGACTACTTCCTCTGTCACTTGGAGGCATCATATACTGACTGCAGGCAAAAGGCCTGCAGTTTTTCTCAAAATATGGTCTGCAGAATACTTGTATCAGAATGGTCTGGCTTTTCTGTTCAAAATTCAGACTCCTAGGCCCCACTTAAAGCCTATTGAGTTAAGAATTCTTGAGTGTAGGTCCTGGGAATCTGAATTTTTTTTTTTTTTTTTTTTCCTAGAGATGGGGTTTCACCATGTTGATCAGGCTGGTCTTGAACTCCTAACCTTGTGATCTGCCTGCCTTGGCCTCCCAAAGTGCTAGGATTACAGGCATGAGCCACCGTGCCTGGCCTGGGAATCTGAATTCAACAAATGTCTCCAAATGATTCCTAGCCGCTCTAAAGTTTGACAGTTCTTGTTCCATTGTTCTAAAACTTCAAACTTACTAAGTGATAAAACTTTTCATAGATTTCCCTTTTGCTTGTTCTCCTATACTTCTCATGTGATTTAAGAGAAAAGAATAACTTGTTAGACAGAATAAAAAGATGGGGGAAATTAAGTAACTAGTTGTTAGATTAGAATGAGTGAAGGGAGTTCAGATGTCAGAAAGTAGAAAACATCTACAAGTTGACAGAAAGGGAGTAGTTATGTGCAGCAAGTCTAGCTTAAGAAAAAATTACTCCCTTTATATTTATATGTAAACATATTTCATTGTAATTACTTTTTCCTGTTATTACTGAAAAAACATATGAGTATTGAGGGATATGAATGTGTGGATGTCAAGGTATAAATAAGCAATAAACTTTATCAGATGCCTTTAAGCTGGGATAAATTTATACTTCTATGTTGTTTACCATTTATTAATTTAAAAAATAGTAAGCTTAAACAAAAAATTAATAAAAATTTCAAGCTTAAGAAAGATCTAATTCAATTGAAATAACACAATATAATGGTATGATTGTGAAATGTTGACACACAAATTTGTAACTATAGCAGCAGAGATTTTCTCAATAGGGTGGATAAAATAATTTAGAGAATATCTTAAGAGATTCAAAAAGGAGTACCGGGGTAGCAAAATTTGATTAAGGATGCTCAATGTGGATTCCGACAAAGGAGGTCATGTATCTTGGAACTTATTTAAAAAGCTTTTTATGAAATATGAGGAAAAGTCCATTGCTACTATTTGATATTGTTATTTAAAATTAGTCTAGTTTTTTAAGCCAGAGATTAATATCTGATTAAAAACACAAAAGCAGATTTAAAAAAATATGGAATTTGATAATATGGTTTATTCTCAAGAGAATATGAATAGCCAGTTGTCTTCTCATTATTTAATGTGAATTTCAAGGATTATACAGTTGTTATTTTAGAATATTATAATCATTTATAGTCAGAATTTTTTTCTTAAATGAAATCCTAAAAAAGCCAAAATAATAAAGAATATATTTAGTGGAAATAAAACCAAATGAGAATTATCAGTCTAAACATTCATTTACTTTACTTATGGTAGTTCAAGATAGTCCTTAATATTATTTAGGGGCAGTTAAGGCATAAACATATTAAATTTGAAAAGGTAAAATGTATTTCTTTTTTTATTAAAATTGTTTTATAGTTTTTATATGTACATTTTATATTTGAACACATTTTAATTGTTAAGAACATATAACAATAATGGTTACATTGAAGCATTTATTAGATTAATGTCCATGCATACCTGATCATTAAGGTATCTTTGATGAACTTTATTGAGTTTCTGGACATTAGAATCACAGGATTTTATGAAGTCATCTAGTCAAGCTACTCAAAATACTGAAACTTAGACAACTAACTGCCATATCCAAAGTGGATCAAGTGGAATAGCTAGTACTATAATTCATTTTTTAATTTTAAGAGCAATATTATTTATTATTTAAAGGTTCCCTTAATATTACTTTTTCTTAAATTTTAATTTCTAATGTGTTGTCTCTTAAAAATTATTGAATATAACCATTAAAAATAAAAACATAAGGCATCTGTTTCCAGTTGGAGTAATTAGTATCAGACTAGTCAATCCATTCTAAACAACTGAAAAACTGGACAAAATATATGACAACTATTTTTAGGTATTACACAACGGGAAGTATCAGCTGTAATGCCTAAGAGCAGGGTAAAAGTTGAAGTGTGTCTTAAAGTTCACTATGTCTTTGTACCTGGAGGCAATTTATAGATTGTAGTGGAGAGAGTGGGAGGGAATGAGAAGGGGAAGAGGGGAAGAAAAAGAGAGAGAGAGAGAGAAGGAGGAGAGGGGAAGAGAGGGGAGGCGAGGGAAGGAGAGGGGAGGAGAGGGGAAGAGAGGAAAGAGAGGAGAGGAGAGGGGAGGAGAAGGGAGGAGTAGGGAAGAATCTAAGAAAAGCACAGTGGTTCTCCATAAAGTGAAGAGAATGACATCAAAGTTCTAGGTGGCTGAAATTTGCAGAGCAATACCATTAGAGGGAGCTATTTGTAGAATAGTTCTCAAATTTTGTATAAGCATTGCCGCATGTCTTGGCTGAATATTATGTTGCTTATGCATAGGATGAACTCCACAAGGCTTGACACAAACAACTGCCAGGAAAAAAAACAACTAATCAGTATGTATAAGGGAAACAAGTATGGGAGTATGTGCAGGGTAAGGAGACATTTGCATTAAGACCAGTTGGACAGGAGTTATTGAACTTGTTAGAAAATTTCAAATATGCCCGCTCTTAAAAATGATTTAACATAATCAATAAAAATAAAACATGAGACATCTGTTTTCATTTGGAATAATTAGTATCAGATTGATGAAGATTCCAGAAAAGTTAATATATATCCAGAAGAAAAGTCAATCAATAGAAACAGATCACAAAAGAGAGTTAACAGAAAAAGACATTTAAACAGCTATTATAAATATGCTCATGTAATTCAAGAAAAATATGAATATAATTTGAAGAGAACTGGAGACTTAAAATAGAACCAATGGGACTTATAGTTCTAAAAAATACAATATCTCAACTGCAAAAAATTAAAAAAAAGCAACAACAACAACAAAAGAAAAACTGAGTGGATTTAACAGCAGGTTAGATATTAGAGAAAAAAGATCAATTAACTTCATGACAGACCATTAAAGCTATACAAATTGCAGTGTAGAGAAGCAAAAGGAAAAGGCTGGAAATAAGGACTGAGTGTCAGTAACTTGTGAGATATCAATCACTCTAATAGATGTATAATTGGAGCCCTAGAAAGACTGAGAAGGATGTGAATATTTGAAATAATAGTGGACAGAATTTTTCCTGAGTTCATGGAGAACAACCCACATATCTAAAATGCTCAGTGAACCTCTGGTAGGAAGATAACCAGATTAAAGGCATAAATCACATTGCTGTAAACAATGATAAAGAGAAAAGCATAAAAGCAACCAGAGGGGAGGAAACACATTAATTACAGGGATACAGATGTAAGAATAAAAGCTGACATCTCTTCAGAAATAATGCAGGACAGAATATAGCAGATCTTCTGCGGAGAGAAATAATATGTTTAAAGTGCTGAAAGGAAAAACCAATCTTCTTATTATATTATATTACAGTGGAAATATCTTTCGAAAATGAAAGCAAGATAAAAACATTCTCAGTTAAACAGATATAAAGTCCTTGTGTTCAACAGATCTATACTATGAGAAATATTATAGGATATTTTTCACTGGAAGAAAATGATACGAGAAACAAATTTGGGTATCCACAAAGAAATTCTTTTAAATATACCTGATACATTCACTGTTATAGACTCTTTGCAGCTTATTAAACTATTCCCAGTACATTTAAAAGGATGGAAATTATGTTAAGTATGTTTTCTGACTACAAAAGCATTAAATTAAAAATAAATAACAAAAGATATCAGGTCACTAACTCTCTAGCTATGGAGAGTTGTTTAATGTGGACATTAAACTTCCCTTCATATATACATCTTAATAGAGTATCTTTAATATTATATATATATAGTCTTTCTTTAATAGACATTATATATAATCTTTAATAGACATTAAACTCCCTTTCATATACACATCTATCCTATTAGTTTTGTCCATCTAGAGAATTCTGACTAATACAACATGAATTACCAAAACTGAGACAGAAGAAAATTTATATCTTAAAATATCTGTATGTATTAAATAAATCAAATTTATAATTAAAAGCTTTTTAAAAAACAAAATTCCAAGACCAAATGATCTCATTGGTGAATTTCATCAACCTTTCATGACGAAATAATATCAGTTATACACAAACCTTTTAGAAAATAGAGAAAACAGGAAGACTTCCTCTTTCATATGATGAGACTAGCATTACAGAGACATTACTGGAAAAGAAAATCCATACCAATATCCTCCTGATCATAGATGCAAAATTCCTTCATAAAGTATTAACAAATTAAATCCAACAATACATCATGATCAAGTGAGTTTTATCCCAGGTATGCAAAGTTGATGTATTAGTCTGTTTCCATGCTGCTGATGAAGATATACCTGAGACTGGGCAATTTACAAAAGAAAGAGGTTTATTGAACTTACAGTTTCACATGGTTGAGGAAGCCTCACAATTGTGGTACAAGGTGAAAGCCACGTCTCACATGATGGTGGCAAGAGAGAGAACGAAAGCCAAGTGAAATGGTTTCCCCTTATCAAACCATCAGATCTTGTGAGACTTATTGAAAACCACTAGAACAATACAGGGAAACCACCCCCATGATTTAATTATCTCCCCCTGGATCCCTCCCACAAAATGTAGGAATTATGGGAGTACAATTCAAGATGAGATATGGGTTGGGACACAGAGCCAAATCATGTCACTTGGTTTAACAACAGAAAATGTAGTTTACCACCTTAAGAGAATATGAAAAAAATAAATATGCTCATTTCAGTAGGTATCAGAGAAGATTTTGACAAAATTTAATATTCACTTATTAAAAAAATTTTTCATAGGAAACTTGTAAAAGGGAATTTCTTCAATCTGGCCAAGAATGTCTACTAAACACTGATTTAATTGCATACTTAATGATCAAAGACTGAACTATTTTCCCCTAAAATCAGGAACAAGGCAGAGATATCCTCTCTCTTCATTTCAGCTTAACATGCTGTTGGGGACCCTAACCTGTGATAAGGCAAGAAAAAAGTAGTAAAAAGTGTATAGATTTGAAAGGAAGAAATAAAACTGTTTTATTTGTACATGACATGATAAGAACACAAAGTACCATAAAGAATCTATATAAAAGCTAGTAGAACTAAGGAATACATTCAGCAAGTTTGCAGGATACAAGGTCAGTGTATTTCTGTATGCTAGTGACAGTTAGAAAATTAAATTTAAGGAGAGTGGAATGTCTTGACTTCAGAGTGGGAACCTTCATTGTGCCAGTGTTGAGAATTAAATATGGGTGGTGTTGAGAAAGGCACAAAGATTTTTTTTCAGAAGTGTTCCCAGTGCCACATCATTGAAAAGGGAGGCAAGCACAAGACTGGGCCTAATCTCCATGGTCTCCTTGGGCAGAAGACAGGTCAGTCCATTGGATTCTCTTACACAGATGCCAATAAGAACAAAGGCATCACATGGGGAAAGGATACATTGATGAAGTATTGGGAGAATCCCAAGAAGTGTATCCCTGGAACAAAAATGATCTTTGCTGGCATTAAGAAGAAAGAAGAAAGGGCAGACTTGATAGCTTATCTCAAAAAAGCTACTAATGAGTAATAATCGGCCACTGCCTTATTTATTACAAAACAAAAACATGACTTTTTAATGTGTACCATACTTTAATAGATTCATACACCAGAATTCAGATCATGAATGACTGACAGAATATTTTGTTGGATAGTCCTGATTTAAAACTAAGACTGGCTTGTGGTTAAATGGGTATGTTCAGTTTTTGAATTTCAATAGTAATTCCAATTCAGTAAATGCCATCACTGTTCACCCCTTCTAAAGATATGATTAGCCTTCGTTAGTAATGTTCAAATTTTCACAAAGCTGGTGAGTGCCATTTTAAAACTTACTGGAGATTGGTTTTATATTTAGATTTATATAACTGGTTATGTGAATATATTTAATTAATGGGGAAATTCCTTCACTGTCTCAGAACTAAGCAAGATTCACCTGTGTTTTGTGTTCATCTGCCTCTTAAAGGCAAGGTTTGAAGATAAATAAGGTAGCAATGTCTACTTTATATTTTTGGCCTTAACTATGCCAATCTAATTAGAATTTTCTGTATTCAAAATGGTTCCTTTTAGTTATTGAAAGGAATTTTAGTGTGGTTTATGTGTAATATCAAAGATTACTTAGCACTTCTCACATTTTATAGCTGATCTATAAGGTCACATGTGTTTAAAATAGTAGCAAGTTAAACTTCACTCTTGAATTATTTACAATCTAAGTCAAACTAAGTTATAATTTAGGATTGCCTTTTAACCAGCCATTCAGAAACATGAAACTAATTAACTGCTGTGTGTTTGGGATTTAATCCTTTCAGATTACAGTAGATGAGATACAAAAAAAAAAAAGCAAAAAAGAAAGTGAAATTTAAAAATCAAATACCACAACACTCAAACACATGAAATACTTAGCTATTTATTTAACACAATACATGCAAAACCTATACAGAGAAAACAACAAATAATTGCTGAGAGAAATGAAGAAAGGCCCAAGAGATATACCACGTTCATGGACTGGAAACTTCAAAATTATTATGATGTCAATTTCCTGCAAATTGAGCTATATAGTCAATACAATACTTATCAAAATTCCAGCTGGCCTTCTCTTTGAGGGAAAGGGCATACATTGGCAAGATATTTCTAAAATATGTGTGGAAATGCCAGAAATGCAAAGGAATTAGATAGACAAATAAGTTTTAAACAAGAGCAAGTTTGGAGGATTTATGTTACCTGATTTCTTTTAAAAAATTATATTTTTGTATTTTTTATTATTAATTATGTTAATTTTTTTAATTGACAAAAATTGCATATATTTGTGGTATACTACATGATGATTTGAAATATGCCTACATTGTGGAATGGCTACACCAAGCTGATTGACAGGTGAATTACTTTAGATAGTTACCTTTTTTTGTCATAAAACACATAAAATCTACTTTCTTAGCAATTTTCAAGTATACAATATACTGTTATTAAGTATAGTCACCATAATATACAATATACCTTTAGTTTGGCTTATATTTTGTGTGCTTTAGCCAACATCTTCCCAGTCCTCTCACTCCCCCTGCAGCCTCTGGTGACCACCATTCTACTACTCTCTGCTTCTTTGAGTTTGATTTTTTATATTTCACATATAAGTGAAATCATGTGGTATTTGTGTTTCTGTGTCTGGCTTATTTCACTTAACATAATGCCCTCCAGTTTCATTGATGTTGTTGCAAATGACAAGAGTTTCTTCTTTTTAAAGGCTGAATAGTATTCCATTTACACTACTTGTTTTCAACAGCTATTATAAAACTAAAGTAATCAAAGCAGGATGATATGGGAATAAAAATACACATAAAGAGCAAAGAAACAAAATGGAGAGTTCACAAATAGACCTACACATACATGGGCAAATCATTCTTGATAAAGTGATTCAGTCGGGGAAAGACAGAGATTTTGATAAATATTGCTGAAACAGTTGGATATCTGGGTGATGAGAACTTTAAAACCATTCATGAAAATTGATTTAAATTGATCACAGATCTGATTATAAAGAGTAAAACCATAACAGTTCTTAGGGAAAACATAGGAGAAAATCTTTGTAACCTTGAGTAGGCAAATACTTTTTAGGACACAAAAAATATGAACAGAAAATGATTGTGCTTTATCTGAATCAAAAAACTTTTGCTCTTGTAAATACAGCATTATCAAAATGAAAAGGCAAGCCACATAATGAGAGAAAATATTCAGAAAACACATAGTTAATAAAAACATTGGTTCAGAATATATAAACATTTCTGAAACCTCAACAGTAACAAAACAAACAACTCAATACAAAAATAGGTCAAAAGATGTGAATAAACATTTTACTAAAGAAATATAGAAATCAACCATTAGCACATGAAAAGATGCTCAATATTATTAATCATCAAGGCAATGCAAATTAAATCCCTGATGAGTTACTGCTATATACACATTAGAATGACTAATATCTAAAAGACTGAAAATACCAAGTGTTTGTGTAAATGTGGAGCAATGGACAAATCCTATATTTAGCTGATAAGAATGCAAAATAATATAGCCACTTGGCAAAACAGTTTAATAGTTTCATATAAAGTTAAACTTACACTTAAATACAATCTAGCAATTCAATTTTTAGATCTATACCAAGATCAATAACATATGTAAACACAAAGGCTTCTAAGTGAATGTTTATAGTTGTTTTATTTGCAATTAGCTAAACTACAGACAATCCAAAAGTGCATCTACCTGTGAATGGATAAAAAATTATGATACATTTATGCTAAGGGCTATTTTTCAACAGTAAAAAGGAACCAGCATTGTGGTAAATGAATGAAACCAGGTACAAAATATTAGATGCCATGAAATTGTAGAATAGACAAAGTATTCTCTAGTGAAAAAAACAAAGAGATTATTGGTGGCTAGGGGCTAGGATATTGAGTTGTAATTGGAAAAGAATATAAAGAATTGTGGAAGCTGTAACTACCACAATATAGAATATATAGAATATATAGAACATTCATTGTGAATATTCTATATATTCATTGTGGTAGTTACACACGAATATACATTGTTCTACCTGCATCAACCACACCTATTTAAAATAGACACAGTTCATTTCATGTAAATTATAAATCCATATAGATTTCAAAAACAAAAAAAATAATATGATTATAATTGTAATCTGGGCCATTTATTCTTAAGAAAATTTCCTATGGTTATGTACTTCTCATTCACATTCTAAAAATAAAATGCCAAAACACCACAGAACACAAATTCACAAGCAATAATTGTGTTTTTAAATCATATTTATGTTCATTGCCAATGAGAGCAAATAAATAGATCTGGTGTGCATTCTTTCCCTTACCTTTATGAGAATAAGACAAATAACAGGCCAGCAAATTTAGCTCTAGGATTTATTCAGAAAAGTGCCTTTAAGGTACTTAAAAAGATGGGTACAAATTTAGCGCAATCTTCTGGCATTTTCTGGTTAACATAATGATAATTTAGCCCAATCTTCTGGCATTTTCTGGTTAACATAATGATAATAATTTTGATTATAAGTCATTTTTGTAAAATGTTGGCCTTAGCAGAGACTTATGCCATGGCATTTTATTACATCTTAATTCCTTGAAAATTCGTATTCGACAGGCTTTCAGTTAGGAAAAAAAAAATTCTTTAAAAACAGATTCCCTTTCTCAAAATAATCATAATAAATGGTAGTTCTCTTCTACTGAGAAAGTACAATTAACAGCCAAAGGTGAAGTATTTTTAGTAATCCAAATAATTACTTTCATAACTATCCATTCATTTTCAAAATTTTCAGCTTGAAAAATTTCTTCTGAAATTATTCCCTAGATTTTTAATTAAATGGTTTGCTTTTTAGGTTTATGTAGTGAATATTGTTGTAACGTATTTGGCATACAAATACTCACTGAATTAGCTGAATAAATTTTCACCATTTGAGGAACATGGGACAAAAATATTTATTTTTCTATTAGTTAGGATGAATTTAGCTGCAAATAACAGATTCCTAATTCAAACAGACATAAGCAAAAAAGGAAGCAAGAAATCCAGAGGCAGGGCAGCTCCAAGCACAGTATAATAGGATTCCAGCTGTGATCTCTACAGTTTTCTGGAGTTTCTGCCCTTTCATATGTTGGTAGGAAGATGGCTGCACAGCCAGGTACAACTACATACAGAGGCAGAAAAGGACCATCTCTTCTCTATGAATGATTAAGTTTTTAGAAGTCTCTTATGTTTCATTGGCCAGAACTGAGTTATGTGTCTATATCTCAAGCCATTCACTAACAAGGGGTGTGAATCTATAATAGGTAATTTGGACACATCAAGGTAATTTAGCCTTCTTTGAGTCAAAAGGGAGAAGTATGAATACCTAAACAAAATCATTATAGTAAGGATGAAGGTAGAGAATGGATATTGGATAGGCAGCTAACGGTATTACTACACACATGAAGAGGTTTTCTTATTTTATTTCTTAAGACTTGCAAAATGTGAGTGCTCTGGTACTAAAAAGAATTGGTTTTATTTGAAAAAAAAAGATCTTCTGGAATTATGCATACTTTATAGCATAATTTTATAAAATCAGTAAGAAATTTTTGCTAGCTTATCAGAATCTTGATCAAATGATGTTTATGATAAAGTGAGTTTAAATTAGAAATAATATATATTAACACTTTTATTCATTAATTCAAAATGTTTTTTGACTACTAATGTCTGTCAAGTGCCTGGAGATGGTGGTGAGCAAAACCAGCCATGGTCTTGTTCTCGTGGAGCTTTAAGTCTAGTGGTGGACAAAGACATTTTTAAAATAAGGCTGGGTGTGGTGGCTCACACCTGTAATCCCACCACTTTGGGAGGCTAAGGTGGGTGGATCACGAGGTCAGGAGTTCTAGACCAGCCTGGCTAACATAGTGAAACCATATCTTTACTAAAAAATACAAAAATTAGCTAGGTGTGGTGGCATGCACCTATAGTCCCAGCTATTCATGAGGCTGAGGCAGGAGAATTGCTTTAACCTGGGAGGCAGAGGTTGCAGTGAACCAAGACCATGCCATTGCACTCCACCCTGGGTTGCAGAGTGAGACATTATCTTAAAAAAAAAAAGACATTTGTAAAATGATCATGTCATTAAATGTGAGTAGGTGGCATAAGGAAGGCTTCTTTCCTTTCTTACGAGGCTACTCTCCCCATTCATATGGTGACCTTTTGATTCCTGGATTACATCGTACTTGCTCTGCCATGGAGCCTTTTCATATGCTATGTTCTCTGAAATGGTTTCCCATTCTCAATATTCTCCACCTTTCCAGATAAATCTAGTTTATCTCTTCTCAGAAGCCTTCTTTATGCCACCTACTCTACAGTTAGTGATATTGTTATTTTATAAATGTCTTTGACCACCACTAGACTAAAAGCTCCATGAGAACAAGAACCTGGCAGTTTTTGCTCACTGCCATATCCAGGCACTCAGAAGATATTAGTAGTCAAAAAATATTTTGAGTTAATAATTAAAAGAAGCATATCAATTTGGGAGTTGCCAGTATATAGATGGAAGATGAAATGTTCGGGTACCATTTAGATTGCCTTAAGAGAGAGGCAGAAGGAAGGCTAGGA